TGCCTGACACAGGCCATGGTATTTCCAATCGCCTCATATGCATGTGAGAGCTGGACAATGAATAAGGAAGACCAAAGAAGAGTTGATGCTTTTGAATTGTGGTGCTGGCGAAGAATGCTGAAGGAACCATGGACTGCCAAAAGAGCTAACAAAGCTGTCCTGGAGGAAGTGCAGCCAAGATGCTCCTTGGAAGTGAGGTTGGTCATGGTGTCAGAGGGGACCATTCTCTGGAGAAGAATGTCATGCTTGGTGAGGTGGAGGGTCGACAAAAGAGGGGAAGGCCTTCGACGAGATGGATTGACACAGTGGCTGTGACAATGGGCTCAAGTATAGCAAGGATCATAGAGCCGGTGCGGGATTGAGCGGTGTTTTGTTCTGCTGTGCATGGGGTCGCTATGAGTCGGAAGCGACTCGACGGCACCTAACAACAACAACAACACCTCTTATGGGACATAAAATGCCAGAAGAGTATAATATGAACCTATATAACCATTTCATTTCCCATGACTCTGGCTAGATACCAAGATTCAGTCTATTACAATATTATGTTATATTACTAGGACTTGAGTTTAGGAGCTATTGGGAGGTGGGTTGGACATTAGGGGAAAAGGAAAATGGAATGAAGAAAGGAAGGGGAGAGAATTTCAAAATGAAAATAGTGTACTCATAGTTGCTTGTTTGTTTGCTGAATTTGATAATTACATGACCTTAGTAAAATCAGTTTCTATATCATGTGGGCTATACCTGCAAAGTGGGAAGAAGTATGAACTTACCTGAAGAATATATTTTGTTCTTTTGAATAGTAGAAATTCATCTGACCTTTTAACCAAGATTTTGCTTTTAGGTATTTGCTTCTCTGTTTACCATTGCTAATGGCATCAAATAGCAGCTAATTCACATTTTACCATCTTAGTACACTGGTTGGTATTTTTGGTTAAAAAAAAAAAATTGGGTTGGTACTTTAGAGCGGCATTAATGTAGTCTAACAACACTGAAATAGTAAGCTGCATACCCAAGGGAAAATGAATTTTGTCATAGATAATGATCTACCAACTTAACACAGTGGCCTAGAATATCTAGTGTTGCTTACTGTGCACCTGATTTCCTACCAGATGACAAATTAATTGGATTGTGTCTTTCTAAACACATATCTAGAAGCTCTGGTAGCGTAGTGCCTAAGGCACTTGACTGCTAACCAGAACAGAAGGCTGGCCGTTCAAACCCACCAGCCACTCCTCGGAAGGAAGGTTGGGCAATCCTACTTCCGTAGTGATACTGCCTCGGAAACTCAAGGAGGGGTCGCTATGAGTCGGGTCCGACTTAATGGCATATAACAACAACAACAACAACAAGCACATACCTAAGTGTTGGGTCAGACAGACATAATCTGAGCATATATTTTTATCAAAATTTTGTTCTGGTCTCATTGACATTAAAAAGTGCAAACAAATTTCAAATTAGTATTTTTATTTGAAATAACTAAATTCAACTTTATTCTTTATGAAATTGAAATTAAAATTAGTTCCATGTGGTTTAGGGTGAATGCAATAGATTTTTTTTCTGTATGATGTGTAAATATTGGGTGCAGTTGCATTATTTATAAGTAGGTGCACTATTGATTACATCTTGATCTGTAATCATATAAACACTCACATCTCTCTGATTATTCTCATTCAGCCAGCTTAATACACCAAAACAGATTGTAAAGTCACTGCCTCTCTTACTGGTTACAAAGAGTAGTAAACTGCTTGCTCCAGGCTACCAGTGTCGACTTTGTTTGAAAGTATTTCGCCTTGGTCAACATGTAAGATTGCTATCATGTACTCACAAGGTAAAATTACATCATTTTAGTGTGAACTGTAGGGTCAGTTTTAACAATTGAAGTGACCATTGAAGTCTCTTCTTTCACTTTTTAGTTGTGTTGTATACATACAGAGATGTTCAAATTACGTAATATATGAAGAACTGCTGCTTAGCCTCGTGAGAAAGCAACTCTGCCCCTGAGAATAGACTTCTATTGATTAGGATTCATTCATATGTGTACCATCTAGGGAAGATAAAGTAGCACTTTCAGCAAGATTTTGTTACCTACTTTATCTGCAAATGAGGAGAATTATAGAGTACCAACATGTTTTTATGACTCTTTGGACGAAATAAATACCTAAATTGACATAGTTAATTGTTATTTCATATAAACTCACAATAATTAAAGTCTAAGATTGCTTGATTACTATGTCAAACCAAAACCCAACTCACTGCCATCGAGCCTGATCTGACTCATAGTGACCCCTCCTTGGGTTTCCAAGGCAGTATCAGAACAGAAGTAGATTGCCCAATCTTCCTTCCGAGGAGTAGCTGGTGGGTTTGAACTGCCAGCCTTCTGGTTAGCAGTCAAATGCCTTAGGCACTGCAACACCAGAGCTCCTGATTACTACTATATAGTTGGACAAAAATTAATAAGCAACTTTTTCTGAAAAGAAAATGTTGCAATAAATACGTTTTTACATCTTTAAAGTCAACTTTAGTTAAAATGTCCAATAATTTGTTTTCTTTTCCGAAGAATGAGATTTGTTTTATATCTTATTGTCATCAGATCTATTTTGAACTCTAATTCGTTATGACTTTTTTAGTTTTTAATGATTTTTATTCGTTAGAAATAAACAGACAGCAATTAAATTAATGGTTTGAATACATAGTGAGTCTTTAACAAAATTACAAAAGTGCTATCCATAAGATTTCCATTTTAATGTTGAAAATGGAGATTAGTCTATAAGCAACTATATTATAAGTGAAGCTCTTCAAAGTATTTCCATAAAGCTTGACAAATTATGATTACCTTCTGTTTTTGTTAAATAATTTTAATAGTCATACAATTATGAAACTGGAAATATTTTATATAAATTATATATATTATAAACAAGATAATTATAGCTCTGATTAACTTAGAACTTTTTTTCTTTAGTTTCACAGGAAATGTATTGACAATTGGTTACTCCACAAGTGCAATTCATGCCCTATTGATAGACAAGTTATATATAACCCTTTAATCTGGAAAGATACAGCAATGAATGGACAAGCACATCAGTCTGTTTCTGACATAGACATCACCCATCCATCAAAGCAAGAACCACAACTTTTCATTCCTGGTACTAGATTAATCTTACAGCAAAATAGACTTGGAATTTTACCTAGCATACCTCAAGGGAATTCTGAAAAGTTGAATACACCTCAAAGTCCAACAGATGCATATCAGAATATAATAGCAGATAATGTACATTCTATTGAACTAGGTGATTCAAATTCAAGAAATGTAATCTATGAATATAAAATTAGCCAACATTTCCCCAGGTATCTTCAAGATTTACCCACCAGATCACTTGGAAAAATATCATCTCAAGCATGTCTTCCTTCTATTACACCCAAGGTTGTATGTTCTACTAGAATGGCAGGCCCAAATATCAGTGACACCGGTGAAAGGCAGATGACCAAAGACCCTAATAACCACATTCCAAAGAAAACTCTTAGTACTGAAATGAGAGAGAACATCAGTAGATCAAATACTTTGCTTCCAGAGGATTTAAGTCTTTTTGTCAATTGGGGTACAACAAAACTTAGTTTGTCTAAGAGGTATAATAATTGTATCGGTAAAATGAGACAAAAAAGGCCAATATCTCACCCTCTCAGTACAAAAAGTAATGAAATATCTTTAATAATGGAAGGAGTTAAATTGTGAAAAAAAAATTGTTAACATCATAATGTATTTTAATGTTCAGCATAAAAATGTTTTAATTCTACAACATGTAAAACACATTTACTCTTGACAAATGTGTGTACAATCCTCTGTTGTAATTTTGCCAACTTGTCTATGCATAACTTACTGCACTTAAAGGAAATGATCCCATTCCCTTAAAGACTTAAAGCATTAAATGCCATGATCAATATGTTCAGGTTGTTGTGAATTATGAATAATTTTTAGAGCTTTTATATCTGATTTTACACTGATTAAAAATGTTTTAAATTAAATTAAAGAAATACAGTGTCCTTGCTTTTAGTCACTGTTTTTTTCAAATATCGTACTTGATAGCATCTAACACGCAGGGATTATTTCCAAGTGTTTGTGTCTTTTTTGCATTTCTCTTGCACTGATAATCACCACACAACCTATAAGAAAATTCAGATGGTGGTTTTCTTTTAAATATATCTCCTTGAAGAAGTTATTTATACATGAAATGAAATTGAAATATACTTAAGAAGTTATGAGCAGTGCCACATTTATAACGGCTTTACTGTATTATTTTCAAGAAACAAATAAGTACTACCAGGTTTCTTGATACAATATCAAATCTGTTTTTCAAAAACTTGACCTATCACCAAAATAATTAATCATGATTTCAAAATATTCATTTAAAAATAAGCCTCAGAGTCTTCTTTTCAATTCCATGACTCAGTAGCTTTTCAAATTGTATTAAAAAATAATAATAAAGAATGATATAATTGTTTTTTATTATTTGTAACAAGGAAAAAACTTTACATGATATTTTTTGTCATGATGAAAATAGAATGCATAGTTCTGTGGTTCTATAAAACAAATGTTGGAGATATCAGACAGAGTTCTTTGAAAGGAACATTTGACTTTAAAAAAATGATTAATTAAATCAAGGTTAATCACAAACAGAAATTAATTACTAAAATGTAGTTCAGAAACTGTAACTGAGAGCTAATTAGAACATGAGCTGCATTTAAAATGGAATGAAGGTTTAACTTGTTTTTAATATACAAATGGATTGCCAAGCATATTTGTCAGCAATCCAGGATTTTATCAACTGATTTTTTTTTTTTTTTTTTTTTGTAAGATTGGGTTAAGGAAACTGCAGAATGATTTTATAGTTGAGTGTTATTTATGTTCTAAGAGATACTGAACTCTCCTTTTAAAAAGAATTCTTAAAAAAAAGAGGGATTAAAAAATGCTTGACAAAGCAAACATATGAAAGAACTATAAAAGAATAATAAAATATTGGGATGCTAGTTGATAAAATCAATGATACTAAAAAATATTTTTTCACTTATAGGAAAGGCATACCATATTCTATGCAAATAGTGCATACATTATTATGTTTTTCAAACCACACAGCCCCTCATGTATTATTGTCATAAATGTGTTATACCAGTGTTTTTTTTCCTCTGTTGCTGACTTCAACTTCATTTTTGTTTTTCTGTCCAAAGATTTAATGTTACCAGAATAAAACTGATCTCACTGAAACTTCATTTAAGGGAAGCATTTTCCTAAACCAAGTACAACCAATAGTGAACCTAAGTGGACTCATGATAGAAATGGGATACCATGTTGAAAGCAAAGACTATGAATATATGAAAAGCTAGAAATCAATAAGTAATAAATGATCCTAGGCCTAAAACTACAAGATGTTTATATATTATTGCTTTCAAAATTCTTAAACTGAAACATAACTTTTTGATAATCAATAACTTAGAAATCAACAAATAAGTCATCAGAAGAAATTGTGTTTTCATCTTAAAATAGGCCATTTGCATTTTTTCATTCATTATCATCATCATTATCTTCATCCAATTCCCAGAACCCTTCAAAGTCTGATCTCCCATCACTATCATCATTAAAATATCTCAGAGATGCCTGCAAATGCTCTTCTGTGACTTTTGAACTGATGTTATCATGACTGCCTTTGGCATCTTCGTCTTTGGCATCAGTATTCTGCTAGCACATAATCCTAGCCTTCTTGAAGCTATTGCAGACAATTTCTGGGTTATTTGTCCCCAAACAGAAGCTACCCATTTGCAGATTTCTATAAACATTGTCTACTTCAGTCATCCTGATGGTGTGAACTCATGAATCTCAGACTGTATCTGTTCATCCCACGCTCTTCTCTTCTCACTAAAGTCTTGTACAAGTGATATCCAACAGCTTCATTTTGCAGGTAAGGCCATCAGTATGATTGCTATATGGCTACCACCAGCCACTCCTTGGAAGAAAGGTTGGACAATCTCCTTCCGTAGTGATACTGCCCTGGAAACCCAAGGAGAGGTCGCTGTGCATTGGATCTGACTTGATGGCAGTGGGTGGGTGGTGGTGGGTGGTGAATTAATATAATTTTGAATATTTTTTTCCTTTGTGAGCAACTATGCCATAAAAAATTAATAAAGACTTCTAATAGAATCTCCCCTGCTTGGCCCTATAACATTTATCTATTCATATTTTTATAATATCACAGTCCATCTATTCCTTATTATTATTATAATGAACAACCACACTGGTGAGTAATTTTTGCCAGGCATGGTAACTGTCTTGAAAATCACCATTGGCTTTAATTGCACCCCACTTGCAGTATAACCGAAGACTACAGTGAAGCAATCTCTCTCATGCTCAGTGATTGTAATGGCTATAATTTTCACGCCTGAAGCAGCTACAGTCTTGGTGTCAGGAATGTCAAAAGACATCGGAGCCATATCCATATTAGTTATATCCATTGCAAAGGTACCAAGTTAAGGGACTTCCAGTAAGATGGAGGAAGAGGCAGACAAGCTCCACAGACCCTCTTCAATAAAGAAAAGAGAAACCAATTGACAGAGATACAGAAGATAATCCTGGAGCCCTGAGCTTGGAAAGGAAGTATACAAAAGTAGATTAGGCACCAACTAGTGGAAAAACCTGAACAAAAACAGTGAGTACAGCTACTCTGATGGGACCAACAGCATGAATATTTCCAAGTGGTGTTGGGACCAGACGATTGACCTAAAGATCAGCCCTGGTCACCAAGGGCTGCAGGGATGACTGCACTGGTGGCCTATGACTAGAAAGGGAAACAGCAAGGAGGGGGACAACCTGAGCTGTGGACTTTTGGCTATCCGGAGGGCACAGCCATTTTGAAGGTTTACAAGTGACAGCCATTTTGGATATTGAAAGTGACCGAGGCAGCCATTTGGAATGTTCACAAGTGGTGGCCATTTTGGATTTTAAAGTGATAACATTCTCATTTGGATTCCAGGGACCTAAGTATAGGCTCCATTTGCCAAGGACTGTAGAGACATATGGGAGGCACATAATGGGAAAGGAGACAGGTGGTGAGTGTATAAATGCTACCAACTAGCTAACAGAGAAGCACAGCACAGTACCATGCTTATGTCAATAACATACAAAGAAAACAAAAATCATGGGCAAGTCACTCCAACATACAATTACCAATTAAATATAAACACAAAAATGTCACAGAGCCTTGGAGGCAACAGAGCATCACAGTCCACACAAAGAAACAACATAATCCAGGAGAAACAAGGGACCAGGAAAAAGACCCAAAACACATTCCTGAGGAAGATGCAGCATTGGAACTCCCTGATAAGGAATTCAAAAGAATTTTATTTAAGTACTTTCAACAGCTTGAGAGAAAACCCTAGAAAAAAATCTAGAGACAGAAATCAAGATGATTAATACTAAATTTTCAGAAATAGATAACTCATTGAATGGGTAAAGGAGTAGAATTGAATCAATGGAAGATAGAATTAGTGAGACTGAAGGCAAATACCTCAATACTTCTTTGGAAAGGGAACAGTCAGAAAAAAGTTAAAAAATAATAATAATAAAGAAGAAGAAAGCCTTAGGTTCATGTGGGATACCATCAAAAGGAATAACCTACATGTAATCAGAATTCCAGAACCTAAAGAGACCAAAAAAAAAAAAAAA